TTTACATCTTCCCTTGTATCTCCTTCTTATCCCCACACTTCTTTCTTTACGCTTTCTGCTTTTGTTTTCCCTCTTTTTGTATAAAAAAATGTTTTGTGGTTTAGAAAACTGCTGGCTGTATTCGCAAAAGCGAAGGAATTTGATACTTCTGGATCACACACACAAATCTTTTGTGAGTCTAATAGAAAACAGCAACTGTGAGAAGGCACTCTTTTTTTTCCAGTTGCTGAAATTAATTTTGTTCTCTTACTTCAAAGTAATCCTTTATGTCTGAAGCTGACTCGTGGTAAAAAAAAATGTTTGAAAACAAATCAGGGGAATGATGAATAATGAATATGACATGTCTCAGAGATCAGTTTATTACTCCATAAAGATTTGATCTCATTAAAAAAATGACTCCAATGCATAAAAATCTAAATAAATTAAACAAAATCTAAGTTTCAAAATGATAAGCCTCAGTGGTTCAACAACTTATTCATATTTCTTTTTCCTCAGGAGTGACTGAGGTGCTGGAWTAAGGGATATTCTATTTTTCTTTAAGAGAGTCCATATTTAGTTTATGGCTCATTTAACCCACTGCTAAACCATTTAAAACAAAATCTGATCAGAATGTTTTAGGTTGCAAGAAATTCCTACATGTTTCTGTCTTTGTTAAACTTGACATAAACCACATTTTTTTGCAATTACAAAATGTTTGTGGTCAGATTTTAATGTCCACCAGCTGCTGAGCTGCCAATCTGAGACATTTTACAGAGCGAGAGGTCAAACATTTTAACATCTACAGGACCGTACTTCAACTGCTTGTCTCCTGACACCTGTGTTTATTGGCTTCGAACCGTCACGGATCTGCAGAAAACCTTGGATGAGCTGAATGATGCTGAGTACATTTCTGATAAATGAGAGAAAACTCTGAAGTTCTGGTTTGACTGCCTCTCAAAACAACAGGTCTGATGGAGAACGTTTCACTCGCAGCTTGACAAACTTGTATCAACACTTTGACGTTTTGGGATTTCGTGTTTACTGAAGTTGGCAACAGTTTACCGCCTGTAATGAAAGTGATTTATTTTGGTTACTGAATAAAATCTGGGTTTCCCACAGTGGTTGTCTAGGATTTACTGGATCCTTTTGTGTTTTGGATGTTTTCAAAGTTGTTTACGGCGTTTGGCTCAACTTTGACTTTAAGAAAATTAGTGGTTTGCCTTCATAAAGAACATGGAACAGTACTTTAAAGAGCATTTCACTCACTTTCAGTCATTTTGCCTTTTGCTGGCTTTTGGATATTTCCACTAACATAAAGAGATTGTTTTTACTATTTAACAGAATAAAGTGCTTGTTGATGGAAAAAATTATATATTTTTAATTTTTAAATGAAATATTCTGTACATAAATCTCTCATTGGAAATGCACGTCCTGCTGCTGCATAGAAACTTAAATCCTGACCTAAATCACCAACCAGATTACTGATGTAAAAGATAAGTTTTTCACATTGTCCAAATTATAATAATGCTTACTTGTATATAAAAAAAACCCCAGGAATAAATCCCAATTTTTGATAGATTAACTTGTTTTCAGTTCATTATGTTTTTGTTCCTTCACTGAACAAGTTTTAAGGATTTTAGTTTATACTTTAAGCTGCACTTGGATGATATTTGAGCGCACAGAGGCTGATACTGTTTCTCAAGTATCTATAAATCCTTGYTCCAGTTGTTTGTTTCCTTTTGAAGTTTTGCTGGTATCGTGCCTTGGGCTAAAAAAACCCTGTTGTTGCAGTCGCTACTGTCAAAGTGCGCTAGCAACCGAGCCAAGATCAAAAAGAGATTGTCAAGATCTGCAACTAGAGTAGGTTTTGGGTGGAGGAGACAAAAATGTCCAAGCTGCAAGCAAGATCAGGTAAAGAAATGAAGGAGGCAATGACGTATGAACAAACGTAAAAACAACAAGAAACTAGTTGGAGGGGAAAACGTAGGAAAGGACCGATGAGTGGAGAGGAAGAATCAGAGTGACGAAAGAGGCAAAGTTGAATATGTGAGGAAAGAGACGAGCAAAGCAAAGATAGGAGAGCAGGGGATGTGCAGAGGCGAGGTGGAGGGCACCAAGCTGCAGTAAGTTGCTGACTGACTGCTGGAACAGGATGGGGAAGTGGTGAAGGAGGCCAGGAGAGCTGCAGCTCCATAGGTGGGTCTCTGACACATGGGTTCACACAATGGGACACATTATAAAAATACGACTCAGTATTTTGAATTTCCACAGCAGAGTTTTTTTCTTCACTGATTTATTTTTCTTTCATTAATCAAACCAAGGTCAGTTTGAAGTGTAGCTGTTCTTACTGACCTATCCCTGCTGGCTTAAGTGACTTTAGGTGAATTGTTGTCTGGGCTTCTTTAGAGGCAGACTGAATCTATATCTGGACTCCAGTTATTTTATTTATACGTTCATCTTTACATGTCTGTTTGTGTAAGTCCTGTCAAACAAAGAAAAGGCTGAGTGTGTGAGCTCATGAGTTTAAATGGATGCAGTGAAGCTAGGCCTGTCGCGATAGTCAATAAATCAATTAATTGCACGATAACTTTTTTTGAGGTCGGTAAAAAAAAAGACGGCGATAAGTTTCATTTTCCTGCTTGTTTGTTTACTTCGTCTCTCTCCTCTCTGCTCCGCAACACAGGAGCTCCGCTGACCCCTCCCCTCCTGTTTTCTTAGTGTGGGAGGAGTCAACTCTCGCTTTAGCGTGAGAGCTAGTCCCTAAAGAAACGCTTCGAAGCAGAACGCGGCTGCAGAAGTGTCGGAGAACTAGAACCTGGATTTCGCTGCGGAGGGAGAGAGGGAGAGAGAGAGAGAGAGAGAGAGAGAGAGAGAGAGAGAGAGAGAGAGAGAGAGAGAGAGAGAGAGAGAGAG